CTCTGGCAAGGAAACTTTAGAGATTCTTTTACAGAAACATTTCCCAGGCAGCTGAATCCTGGAGGACAAGCAACATGTACCCCTTCCTTTAACGGAATCGACTATACGACCCAAAAAGGAGGACTGGAACTTTGTTGCACAAATTGTCTCTCCAAACGCAGTGAAATAGGCGATGAAGTCATTCTCCCACTTCAAATCACCCGAAGAGGATGGCATTTTTCCCACCCTTTTACAAAAGGACAGAAACTCCTGCTACCCCTCCTTGTGAGGTTGTTTAGAGCAAGCCTGGCGTGGAGCTATATCCCACTAGGATGGACGTTGGCGAAAGTCGTGTATATACACAAGGCTGGCCTACCAAACTCTTATCGTCCAATCTGCCTAACATTCTTTCTTCTAAAAGCACTAGATGCGGATTCTAGATAGGCATATTAGAAAAGGAGGCCCACGGGCAAACCCGTTAAACTTCTCTCAATATGCCTACCAAGCAGGCAAATCGACAGATCATGCCCTGCACAATCTAGTTGGCAAAATCGGCCATTCCCTAAATCACGGGGAGATTGCGCTAGGTGCCTTCCTAGATATAGAAGGCGCATTCAACAACGCCCTTCCTCAGTATTTGTTCTCTTTTATTGAAAGAAGAGGAATCGACAAACTAACTTGTAATTGGATCAAAAGCATGCTGGCAAACCGGAACATCACTTCATCACTGCAGGGAGAGACTGTCACTTTTAGGCCTGCTAGAGGATGTCCACAAGGCGGCGTACTTTCACTTCTAATGTAGATTATTTTGGTGGATAACCTACTAGACGATCTCTCTCGACAGGAGGTGGATTTCCAATACTATGGGGACGATCTGGTTATCATAATTAGGGGAAAGTTCGAAGCGGTGATCTTCAACATCCTTCAACAATACATTAATACGATCAACAGATATGGTACGAGAGGGAGCAGATGTCTGTTAACCCCCGCAAAACTGTTATTGTCCCCTTCACCAAGAGAAGAAAGCTCGACAAGCTTCGACAACCTACCTTGGCTGGGAAAACCATTCATTTTGCAAAGAAGGTGAAATATCTGGGAATCATTCTAGATAAGAAACTCACCTGGAACCCCTAATTGGATAAAACCATCAACAAAGCCAGATTATCCCTCTAGACCCTAAGAAGGATATACGGCAAAGCATGGGGGATCAGTCCACAACTGATCTATTGGATTTACCAAAAGTAGTAAAACCCATGGTTACGTACGGCTCTGTCGTCTGGTGGGACAAGGGACTTCAACGGACGGCCTGAGCAAAGCTGGCTGGAATACAGCGGCTTGCGTGCCTCGCCATAACTGGAGCAATGTCAACTACACCTACGGGAGCCATGAAAACCATGCTGGACCTAACCTCTCTCCACATTCTGCTGGAGAGAGAGGCCAGAATGGTCTCCTACAGGCTCCTGAAAATGGGTAGTCAATATTACGAAGAACTGCGATGGGACAAGACGGGGCTGATGAGGGAAATTAATAACCACCTCATCCTCGGCATGGTTTTGGACTCGCTAGTTTCCCAACAGCACATAGAAAAGCCATACAGCGTCATCATTTCAGAGACGTATGGAGCAGAGGGAAAAAACCCTCTCCCAAGCAGACTATGCGTTGTACACGGACGGCTCCAAAACACAAAAAGAAGTAAAAGCGGGCCTAGAATTGACATATCAATAAACCTAGGCTCTCTGGCCACGATATTCCAAGCAAAAATGATTGCTATAGAATTGGGAGCGAGAGAGTTGATTAATTTTCTCCCCGCAAACAAGACTATAAAGATCTTTTCAGATAGCCAGGCCTTAAGGCACTGAGCTCCAATCGAGTTGACTCAAAGCTGGTTTGGAACTGTATAAATACCCCAGAGTGCCTCGGTGCCCGGCACAAAGTTACTTTGATCTGGGTCCCGGGACACAGTGGTGTGGAGGGCAACGAAAAAGCCGACGCACTTGCTAAAAGAGGAACCGCTAAAACTATAAAGTGTTAACCCTCCCTGTGTAACTTTTACGTTTACCGGTAGTGGTAGTGGATCTTTAAAAAATCTCTCTTGAGAAATCCAAGTGATTGGAAAAAACAAGAATATATAGAATATCGAAATAGATTGAACAAAATAATTAAAAAGATAAAAACTCATATTATTCAAATAAAATAAACCTGTTATATTTTCAATTTGTTCCAGAACTTGCATTAGTTTATTTATAGGTACAATCTAAATCTTTTAAAGAAGGTCAAATTATCCATTTCGTCGAAATAATTTGTTCTATTATACAACCGCCTTGGAAACCCAAAATCAGCAATTTTAATTATTTTCAGTTCATCATTAAATATAAAATTATCCTGTCGATCCATATTTTTGTTATAATTATAGTAAATGTCACTGTGAAAACAGGTAAGGCATGTTTAAGTCTCGAAATTTGAGGGTTTTATTAGGAATAGTTTAAGTGTTTTAAAAGGGCTCCTTGACTGACGGTGCAATGAAAGTATGTCACTTAAATCCTACTTAACTTTAAGTAATCCTTAAATACGTTGGTGCAAACGGCCGTGATTGGTTGAAAAGTAAAGGTGTGAAATTTTCTTGAAAATATTTATGAAATCGATAAAAAATAATAAAAAAACATACAAAGAATGTCAGTTTACCAGTATTAAATTAATTATATAATAGTATGTGAAATTTCACCCATGATTATTTAAAATTTACCCGTAAAGATCGTTTGTGGATGGACTTTCACAGTCAAATTTTTTTAGTCTATTTTAAACTTTATCATTTACAAAATTGGCAGCACAGCACCTAAAGTTATGCTTTCAGATAGTAGTATTTAAATTATAAATTATGATGGGCAATATTAAATCCTAAATTTTCCCTATCAGGCTTGTAGTCTAGGTTTAAAATTTAAATCTAATAGGCAGAAAACGAATGAAAACGTATGGTTAAATCTGGTTAACTAATAATATATACTGTTAGAAAACGAAGGGGGTATAAATGTTAATTACAATTAAAAATCCAAATATTAGTAAACACCACTATAATCGTATCAATATTTAATACAAATACACAACCAATGACAACGAGTAGCCAGTAATCTGAGCAGAGGGATCGACCACGTTGATTGTCCTTTTCAGAATGCTCTCCTGTGAAACACCAACATGATGCCGACGAAAAAGGTCGGGGTATTTACGCATCGTCATCAACACGTGCTTATCTCCCTGACCAGAGGCGACTCTAGGTAAACTTGCTAACACGGCCAATTCTGACGCTAGTGACGTTCTCGGCACTACTTTGTCAATTGGACATCTTCTGAAAAATAAATTTATATGTGGAGACCACAGCCACCACCCGGCTCAACCACTGACGGGACTGAGACCGATAAATATAAGCGATAAAAATAAAGAAAAACATGTGAGACCGCAGCCACCACCCGGCTCAACCACTGACGGGACTGAGACCGATAAATATAAGCAATAATAATAATAAAAAAAAAACATGTGAGATCGCAATCACCACATCCGGCTCAACCACTGACGGGACTGAGACCGATAAATATAAGAAATAAAAATAAAAAAACATGTGAGACCGCAGTCGCCACATCCGGCTCAACCACTGACGGGACTGAGACCGATAAATATAAGCAATAAAAATTAAAAAAATATGTGAGACCGAAGTCACCACATCCGGCTCAACCACTGACGGGACTGAGACCGATAAATATAAGCAATAAAAATAAAAAAACATGTGAGATCGCAATCACCACATCCGGCTCAACCACTGACGGAACTGAGACCGATAAATATAAGAAATAAAAATAAAAAACATGTGAGACCGCAGTCACCACATCCGGCTCAACCACTGACGGGACTGAGACCGATAAATATAAGTAATAAAAATTAAAAAAACATGTGAGACCGCAGTCACCACATCCGGCTCAACCACTGACGGGACTGAGACCGATAAATTAGTATTATAAACATTAAAACATATCGGGGATATGAACTTTCAATTCCCAAAAGTAACTGTAACGTATGTTTAATTTTTTTTAAAACAAGCTGAATCTTCCATGGACCGTTCGGCCATTCTGATTTTATTTACTTTTCCATTCTTAACAGTTTTTGATAGTTCTCTAAAGTGAACACTGAACCAGCATGCACAACTTTTTTTTTACGAAAACCACAGGGCTACTTAGACGAATATTCAGGTTAGCCACCAAATTTTTTTGTGATGTCCCTCCTAGTACAGCTTCTGTTTCACTTGGAGTAACTCGGTGGAGCATGATTCAGAACAATGCCTTTTTCCAACTTTATTTTCTTTAACTAAGATTATTAACCGCTCTTATTTTATTATCACTTGTTATATGCTTCCGAAATCTTAAAAAACTTTCTCCAATACCTCGTAGGACTCTGGGACGGAACTTTAACTTCACCTAATTATATGTGAAAACTTTCAAAAATTCGCTTAATTCCATGTAATTTACGTCGTTCAATACGAGAACCTTAAAGATCTGTTATTGTCATTAGAGCTTGGTCTTCAAATAAATCACGACCAATAATTAATTACATCATAATCCAGAATACTCTCACAAACAAATATGTAAATGACAGAAATATCAACGTCATAAATTTTTGTACACCCTGTACATTTATTTTTGCACTTATCATGACATTTTTTGTAATACTCTTTAGCAGAATTTTACAAATAAATACTTAATTTTTAAATCAATCTAAACATTTTTTCAACATTAACGATAAATATCTCTACAAGAGCCTAAATTAGATGCCCTTCAATTTCAAATTTCTGTTGTATTTGCAAGTTTATCAGCTAGACAAAAATTAATGTTTCGGCGTTTGTCAATAGCAACTTTTGTAAAACAATTTAAAATCGTATTTTGTCAATAGCAGCTTTTGTAAAACAATTTAAAATCGTATGTCCACATTTAGCGCAAATAGAGCAACCATCATCATTTTCGTTTTCAGATTTTGTTTACTGTATGAAGCAGCGGCGTCGGGTCTTGGATTCTTCACATTTCTTTGACAAACGGCTATTAATGGCAGAATATTTATCAACATACAAGTGTTTTCTCAGATTAGGTGACTTAACATCTGCTTTTTAAATTCCATTTAGCAAAAGATAACAAAAATAGTAAAAATTCTTTAATTGTCCGACAATTTCATTGCCATTATTATCTAATTTAGAAATACTGTGAATAATTAATTATACTACGTCACTTTTATTCCAATTAGCTCGTAAACTTATCATCGCAGATTTTTCATGAACGTTACGTTTCGGTGGAAATGGCTCAGTAAACTCCGTCTTAAAAGTAATCATATTTGGTTTCACTGATCATATCAAATATTCGTTCAGTAAAAATCAACCAACTCTGCCTAATATTTTCACGTCATATCATCTTATACTTTATAATTTTAATACCACTCACCCATTTGTTGGATTCACTTAACTCAGGTCGAAAATATCACAAATTTACCTGCTCAGTTGATGCCTGTAACGCAGTAACTAACTCTGATAACAATATCTGAGTACCACTTTCACTATTTTTTAAAATCCATTTTTTTTTTCTATTGTTCTACACCTAAGAAATAGCACAATAATTATTTTAAATAACTGTTCACCAAAAAGTCATTAACGGTAATTAATTAATAACAATGCATCAACAACAGCGTGAGTCATGAGTCCTATCGCACTTCTGATGTTAGAAAACGAAGGGGGTATAAATGTTAATTACAATTAAAAATCCAAATATTAGTAAACACCACTATAATCGTATCAATATTTAATACAAATACACAACCAATGACAACGAGTAGCCAGTAATCTGAGCAGAGGGATCGACCACGTTGATTGTCCTTTTCAGAATGCTCTCCTGTGAAACACCAACATGATGCCGACGAAAAAGGTCGGGGTATTTACGCATCGTCATCAACACGTGCTTATCTCCCTGACCAGAGGCGACTCTAGGTAAAATTGCTAACAATACCATATTGTAAATTCCTTGCCGTCAAAATAATATTTTTAATTAAAGTTTTATTAGCCATGTCTAAACGTCTTAAATATCTTAAATAGGAAATTTTCTATAAAATAACGATAATAAAACGTTTGTTATGTTTATAATTTTGTAATACAATCATCAGATTTTAATACGCTCATTAAACATGGTTAAGATAATAATTTTCATTTTCGTAACGTAATTATTTTCAGTATAAACTAGATAAAACTATAAAATATTGTACTTTCTGGAATATGTACATTATTGAATTTATTATTGCATTGGCAGGTACTATACTACATAGCGGTACATTTATTATTATATTTGCAAAATTTAAACTTTTAATAATTTCCAATTATTACTCTTAAGCAGAGCTGGGCTAAGCACTCGAAAAAGGTAGATCATGCACCAAGCCCTTTGGAAAAGTAATTACCAATTACCGAGAAAATTAATTGCACAATTCAATTACCAAGCATCAATTACTCAAAAAATCTTGTGAATAAATTGTTAATAAAAAATGTCTCTTTGACCACTGTATTCTTATAGATTTTTGTCGCTGTTATAAATGGTTGCGATAATAGTCATTTTAGTCCAAATTTCGAAAAACCTTGCAAAAATGGGGAAAATAGGATATTTTATTTTTTTAGAATCTGTGAAATATTTTTGGGGGTGATAATACATAAGAAAAAAAAAAAGAAAAAATTTATTCATATGAACATAGGTTTGGAAATGCATAACTTTTTTTTAAATCAGTTTTTTTATAAATATCAATAATATCGTTTCCCGATTTTGTTATAACTTGTCAGTTGTTTAAAGTAATAAGGGACCAATCAAGCCCTAACTAGATGAAAATTATTAAGTTCAGTGGCGACCCAAACAACGTATGAACAATACTGCCAAATTTTTACAAAATCGAGTGAAGGATATGAATGAAATTCATAAAAAACTGAAAAAAAAGTTTGAATAATCTCAAAAATTATTGAAACTGAATTTCAGTACACACATATGTTAACAGATTCAAAAAAATTCTTTTCATATATTCACTATATTGGCATGGTTTTTCGATCTGTGGACTAAAATAACTAAGTCAACCACAGTAGTGACCAATCACTAAGAGTATATTTTTCAAAAACACATTTTGTTATTCACACTTTATTCAGAAATTTCGCAGTGGAAACTCGGATTATAAATTTTTTAATATAAATGAAAAACGATAAACAGTAATAATTCATAAGCAAGCACTTAAAATCTAATTGTGCATGCAAGTCCTTTAGTGCTTGCAAGCCTTCTAATTGCTTGCAAGCCCGTTAAAGTGCTTAAACCCACTTTAAATGGCTTGGAATGCGAAATTTAATTACCAATTACCAGGCGCTGAATTTTAAAAGTAAATATTGAGCTGGAAGCACTTTTTTAAGCACTTTCCAGATAATTACTGCCCAGCTCTGCTCATAAGGCCAAGCAATGCGTTTATACAACCTGTATAACTATATATATGTCGTGCAGTTTTTATTGAAATATGCCTATATAGAGGTTGTGTTGTTACTGTAACCTACCGCACCCAGCTACCTTAATAATTTATTAATCTCCCAGATAATTAAATCTTATTTACGACACCTAATAAATAATATCTATAACCCTTTTTGTAAGAGATCCAATTTTCGTGCACGTGTCTGAGAACCCAGACCAAGAAACCATCATAAAACATATTTTTTTACGAAGTAATAATCATTAAAACAGTTAACTCGCTTATCTTTTTTAGTTTCGACGAATTTCTAAATATTTCGATACACAAAGCCTCAAGGCACATAATAAATCAGCCACCCTCTTTCCACCCGTTTTTCGGATTCATTCATTTTTTATTATTTGATGCGCAAGCATTGATTCATGTTTATTATTTGATGTGCAAGCACTCATCTTGTAATTTTACATTCAAGTAATTACTTTATTAATCGTATCCAGTTAAGTAGTCTGGACCTTTCCTAAAACGCTCTTTCTAAACGACGTTTTTACTATAATACCTCCAATCCCCGAAGGTGTCAACGTCTCGACGCCCACAACGTCCTGTCGCCACTTTAATATTTCCTACCATTATATTCATCTCGACGCCCAACGTATCGATGCTTAATGTCTAGACGCCCTACTTCACTACCTATCTACGTCTCGAACGTTGTCACATTCTGCACCATCTAAGTATTTTCTACCTTACATTTAATACGACGCCCAACGTCCCATCGCTCGACTTCTTGACGCTTGCCGCCCCTAAATATTTCCTCCACCGTATATCTGTCCCAATGCAGTACCGTATTAAATACCTTTCTTTTTACCACGACACTAGGCACCTCAATGCAAGGCGACGCTTAACGCTGCGACGTACCTAAATCGACGCCGTCACAATGCTAGATAAAATTAGTACATAATCTAATGTCTGTATTTCCAATGGTGAGTCTAAAGATTTATGTTACTTTCTTTAAGATATCACCAGGGTTTCGTTTAAACGAGGGCTTGACATTTTCTGCAAAATATTATCAATTTAACCAATAAACCACATGGCCTTCAGGTCATACACCCCAAAATACAGGATAAACATCTGTTTTCGATGGGTGAAATTTTGAGTATTTCAAGAGAAATTATAAAAATCAATATTATGGAAATATACAGGGATGTGCTATCTTGGATAAATTGTACAAACCAAGATGACAAAATTTAATAGTAAGTTAACCAACTGGTGAATACACTGTTCGTTAGCTCAAGGGGGGACACCTATATGCTAAGCCACCCATTCTACAAGGTTTAAAACAAAGTATATGTGAAATCAACATAGTAAAGTAACCAATTAGCGAATTGGCTCTGTTCCGTTGATCATCACCTCTATACTCGTCGAAATATTTACCTAAGAGGGTACAACCTGTGTATATCTAGAAGATACTCAAATCCACATCAACACAGTAGTTAATCAAATGGAGAATTGGCGCTGTTCGTTTACTCCGTTGGTCATCAATCTAAATAAGAAAATAAACTTCAAAACAGTCGTTAACCAACTGACGAATTGGCGCTGTTCGTTAACTCCGTTGGTTAGCAACCTAAATAAGAATATAAACATCAACACAGTAGTTAATCAACTGGCAAATTGACGCTGTTCGTTAACCCCGTAAATAAAATATATATTGATACCAAATGAATATGGTCTGCGTTTGAACAGGACTCAAGTGAGATCTCAGTAAATAGTACTAATTGTAATATACTTTGCTAATTATTGCATCATATTTAAAGTATGAAAAATAAGAGTTTAAATATGAATTTGTGTTTTATTTATCAATTTTGCACCAAACTTTGCATCGAATCCTGGTTTACCTTAATTAACATTATCACAACGTGGGTATATAAATTATCAATTAATTAACTAGACGATCACTTTTACTACTAGAGGAAAAAGGCCAAATACAGTAAGTATAAACTAAAATAAAATAAACTTGTGAGGTAAATAATAACATTTCAGAGAGTAAAATAGGGGGTACCCGAGGGTGGGCTGTCACATTACATTTCATTTTTATTAGTTAAAGCAGTTTTGTCAAATTATTTAATGTGAAAAATCTCGGAACTAGAGACATTTATAATCAATCCGTTATAAACATAAACGTTAGGTTGAAAAAAATCATACCACTGATAAGTAAATCTTTTTCCCTCTGCTTTAATATATGACGGATTACTATTTGAATATGGTTCATGTATAAATTGAGATACGCGAATGTTGGAAATTTTAAACAACATTTTCAATTCACTTTTTTAAAAAAACTCAAAAATAAAAAACTTAGATACATTAAAATGTATCCAATATGGTTCTGTAAATATGTGTTCAACGTTTTCACCATTAACTGTAATGTTGAAACACATGGTAAGCTGTTCACTGTTCTGTACAACACCGATTAAGCACTTTCATGCATATACAATTTAAAGACACTCGCTATAAAGGAGCAACATATTATTCTTAAGTTCATTGTTTTCATATAAACATTCTACTAAACAGTGAACACCCGAGTAAATTACATTGACCAATAAGGGCGTGAT